TTATTATTGCTGATCCAATATATGAGTGGGTTAATTGCCTTATTCCCAATTGGTATTTCACTAGAAGTTGATGTATAATTATCCTCGTAGCAGGCGAATTTCTATTAACAGATTGACAATAAATGTCCTTGAAAAGCCAGCCAATGAAATGACATTTAATAGTGACACTCCAAATGGAAACCTCTGAAACTAATATGATATGATTAGACACGTTCATTTACAGGATTCAAGAAATTACTTGACAGGTTATATGATTATTCTGTTTTGTATGTGTAAATAAATGTCGTGTTATACATATATATTTTTCCAGAAATCAAGGTGAGGAGAGGTCGTAATTAATTAGATAGTATACAATGATCTGATGATTAACGTGGGTTTAATTTGTAAAATTTGTAGTATGTGTTGTCAGTTACATTTATGCATGGAATTACAACAAAAATTATATGAAAATAATGAGATATAAGATTATTTTAATCTAATAAAATCTTATCGTTGTCATGCCGATGAATGGACATATTTAATGACAAATAAATCCTCACCGAATGTGCAAAAAAATGGAGAATTTCAAAGCACCAGTAAAAAGAAATTATACACATCTTTTTTCTGCAACTTTGAGTGTCAAAAGAACTATAGTGTTAGATATGTTATATTTTGATGTTATAAGTGTAAGCGAAAGGTTAGAAATTTCCTATAAGCCTGTCAATACAGAAATAGATTATACATATAATGGTCTTCCATTGCTGGAGTCCTTTAGGAGGAATTAGAAAACTGAAATGTATTTAGAAAATTTAAAGACGCGAGTTAAAAAGTCGAATAAGCTATTTCATGTTATTTATAAAATTAGTTTTACCTTTCGAACGCAGTTCTAATGGCACTTTAACTAATTATTTCATTATGAGAATGTTGAGCTTTAACGAAATATCTATTTATATAAACTGAAAAAACTTTATTTCATGATTTAATTCATTTCTAAAGAGCACTTTCATCTCAAAACTGCTAAAGCAACATCCTTCGGAATGCAGAAATTATACGGAAAAAGATATTCTAAAGGTTTCTCAGAAGCTCTTGTCTTTTACATTTTGTGAAAAATATAAAGTCGAAATGAATTCAGATATTGATTTTCTGTTCATAATTTTCGTTATAAAAAATTCACCCTTTGTTCTACAGTACAGGCATATCAAAGAGTTGCGAAAACAGTCTGTCTGATTCGAACTCTGTTTTACTGCATTTTTTATTCATGTCGTTTTTTTTTCTCAAGTGTCCATTTCTGTATTGATAGTAAAATTTACTATTTACATTCAAAACTAGACCATTTGAGTTGAAGATGTTTTCTCAATTGTAATTACATTTATACTCATAGTGGTATTATACAACCATCAAACAACTTTCAAGTTGATTTTATAATTAATCTTCGCACATCTGTTACTTCCTCATATTTGTTACTTTGATTAAAGTTATATTAAAGTTATCAAATTTCATTAGCTTCTATTCTAATTTTTAAAATGGAGAATATATTTTTCAAATAAATTTTATGGAGAATTACGACGATATTCTAAGAAGGAAGTTGTATTCGTACCTTCATTCCCTCAGCTCGTTGGTAATCTGGCCAGCTGCACGAGAACACGATAGACCTTCCAGAAGAGTTCAGTGCCTTGGTCATTTGAGGGTAGACTAATGTGGAAAAAATTATTTGTAATATATCAGATTAATTTCTCTCTCTCTTTATATATATA